CTTGAGCAACTGTGGATTTGAGCGTCCACAGGATCCTGGACCAATCTCCCACAGATACCAAGGTATTACTCTACCAGCATGCTTGATTCTATTCAGGGATGCCCAGTACTTACACCTTTAACCCAATTGTCCAAAGAGACCAAGGGTTTTTTTCCTCCATTTGAAGTTCAAGGTCTTGTGGGACTCTGGCTTCTTTTGTTTCATATCCCATTAAATCAGAACACATGATCCAAGAACTCCGGAAACAGTCCATAGGCACTGTTCAGACCCTGATAAAGTGATCAGTCGATTCCAATAGTGAATGCAAATTCTAAGAGGATGACTTCTTTGATGTCTGCAGCAAAGCATGCTGTAATTCAGAAGCTTCAAGTGCATTGATTTGTCAATGCCTCTGCAACATTGTCTGTAGGTTTTCAAACAATGATAAAAGGTCTGATATTTTCCAAAGAGGGTAAAGGATGGTGTTGTGAGAGTCTTGATTTAAATCACACACATGGAGCATTAACAGAGATTTAATGTCATTAATTGTAGCTCTTGGAGAAGATACTTTGCAAAGGAATAGAGGATTCTTTGATCTACGTAACTCCTTTGTCTTCTTTAAAAAAATCAATGGTATCTCTTGCTGGGGTCATTTTCCTTGTCACACAGAGTAACCATAGAACATCTTGGGGGCAGTGCTGAGCAAAACTGAAGTCAAGTCAGCAAAGCCAGTCTTTGGTTCTAGCAGACATCTGTTCTGTGCTGTGTATACTCACCACTCCACCCCTCTCCCTGGAGCCCTGGCATCTTCCCCCTTATCCTATCAACCTGCTCTGGGGAAATGGTCTCTATTTTCTCCAAACTGAAGTATAAATGATTGCGGGGAGTGTAAAGGATTATTCTACTTACAGATTCTTGCATCTAGCTGGGATCAGAGTCTGAAGCTAAAGGAATGAAGCTCTGACAGTAGATTATAAGCCTAAAATATAAGCAGGAGCTACATAAGGGATTATCAGCGTTTCCATGCAAAGGAACAACCAGGAGGACATAATGAAGATGATTTTCTAAAGTTGTTTCTTACTGAAGGAGCTATGAGTTTTCTAACCAGCTTCCTTCTTGTGCTTCTGGATCCAGGCAACCTCAGCCCCACAAGCTTGTGTCCCCTTGACCTTCATTGTATTTGTAGGGACTTTTGATTGCAAGTGTTAGAATCCCATTCAAACCACCAAATGCCAGGATTGGACTGACTTTTGGGTGAATATAGCTTAACCGTTATTAACACACACGCCTGCCTTTCTTCTGGCTGGTCCTGATGTCAGCAATCTCATTATCTCCCACTCTGCTGCAGCTTATGGGGCACTCTGACAGTTCTCAATTTGAGAGGAAAAGAGCTGCCTTAGCCCTGCCTCAAGTTGAGTCAGAAAAGTCTGGGGAAAGGTGCTGACTGGTCAGTAGTGGGACCATGGGGTCTCAGCACAGGCGGTCTGGCAATGATCATTTCTGTGACAGCTCCTTAAGAAGACATGTGAACTAAGGAGTCACCCGGGGCCCCTGAGTTTTCATTTTCTCACCTGTAAAATGCAGGAAGTAGAGCCGTGTCTAAAACTCTCCCCACTTGAACCTAACTCTGTTTAAAAATCTCTTCTCCGTTTTCAGTATTCTGACCTCTGTGTCTTTATCTCGGCTCTATGTCCTGCTTCCTGCCACAAGGTCAGATGGCCTTGGGAGATAATGATTATCTCCTTCACTCAACTCTGAGTTTCTCTGAGTGGGGAAAGGGGCAGCATCCAAGGTGCCCCCTACATGAAAGAGCAAAGTGTCATAAATCAGGCTTAACCACTGTTTCTGCTGCAGAATGTAAGATGGTCACTATTTCAAACTCTGGGAAGCATCCCCAATGTAGCATTCTGCCTGAGTGAGAAAGGAAACAGGATGAGGTGGAAGGTCAACTGGCAATATCCCTTTCTGCCGTTACACCAAGGACATGAAACCGTGATTATGTAACTAACTGGTTCCAGTTTAGATGCATCCCTGGTTCAGCAGGGCTAAGGTATAGAAGAGTCCAAATCATTCATCTATTTCCACACCATTGGACACGCATTCTTCCTGTAAATCCCAGGTGACGTCTTCTCCAAAAAGCCTCCCCACCTACCAACAAGTCCATCACCTGCATGGTTCTTCTGTGATGGCCTTGGCCCCGTCTGCCTCACTTATCAGACCATTAGTTCACAGAAGACAAGGGCCAGACTCTAGTCACCTTGGAATTCCCAGCGTAAATGCATGTGAAGTGCTCAGTAATATTCACTGTGTGGACTTCACAAATCACGCTTCTCCAGAAAATGGTAATAGCTTCTATCAATACAGTTTGATTAGTGTAAGCTAATGATCAGGTGGGTTAGATGGCAGGGAGCAACCCAGCCACAGGACTGGAAACTTGCGTGAGACAGGGGTCGGGAGGATACTTGACTCGATGCATTCACTCCGTGACTATCGCCAACCACCACATCTCAGGACAGGCATGGCGTGCAGGTCCTCGGAGGGCAGTGGTACCTACTGGATATTGCAGGTCCATGAATGGAAGATACAGATCCGTCATCTCTCAGGTTGTCTTCTGAACTTTCCTGAGACTTCTGCCATTAGATTCATTTTTGTGATAAGATACCACCACCCAGAAAGTCCCTATGAAAATGTGATATGTTACCTTGTAGAGGATGTTCTCACTGTAGACTTGGATTCCTAAAACTCAGAAGCATGTTAAGGGCAAATGAGGGTTCATATCACTTGAAAGCAATTTTTTTCCTTCTAGAGACCTATGACTCATCTTACCCTCAGTTTAGCCATTTTCAGGTGGCAAGGGTGTCCTGGGAGCACAGGCACGTGCAAGGGGGTACCCAGATGCCTGGAGAGTGGAGATACCTGGCATTCCTGGGTTAGGGGACTCATGGGCCTGTGGGTGCCCCTGAGGCCTGATGCTAACAGGTTTTAGTTTTGCTGCCAAGGAGGATTCTCTTTCTCCTCCTGCCTCCCAGTATCCTTAGACCCCTTCAGATCACTGAACAGTCCTTGGGTGAATAAGAGATGCACACTTAGAGAAAGAAGCATGGGCAGACAGCTTCGCCACCTGCACCCCTGGAGAGGGGAGACACCATTCAGCAGAGCTCAGCAAGTGTTGGGAGCACGTTTCAGCTGCCTACGACTTCCTGATGTGGTGATATTTTCCCATCACTCAGCAATCAGGCAGGTTTGGAAGTCCTGGTTTGCCACAGTATCTTCTATGCTATAAAATTGTCAGCTGTATTACAGTAACATTTCATGCAAATAGCATCTTGGTGGGACTCGTAAGTGAGCAGTTGCTACTGTACCGCTCCATACGTGAATTGTTGAATGAACAGTGATTAGATACCATAAGGAGTGTAATGGGATCACATTTACAGTGACAAAGGGTGAGCACTACCCCACGGCTGTCCACGTCGTATGCTGTATCCACTACACCAGGCTAGTGGTACCTTAGAATGCAACTAGATGTGTGTGACCTTGGACAAGTCCTCAGTCCTCCTCAGTCCTCCTCAGTCCTCCTCAGTCCTCCTCAGTCCTCCTCAGTCTCAGTTCCCTTATCTTTAAAACAGAGGTGATGACACCTATGCCCGCTGTGTGAGAAGGAGGATTACAGGAGGCAGGGGAGCATAGGAGTGCCTGGGACAGAATGCATCCTATAGTGTGGGGCACTGGTGAGTTTCTCTTCTAAGTTACTACGCCGCCCCAAGAGTGTTGGCTGGAGAGGCAGGGGAGTAGAGTTTATATAATCCTGGGTCTAATCCAAGGTGGGTCCCAGCTCAGCCACCTACCAACCAGCTGTTTGATTGTGAACTAGGCACTTAATGTTTCTTTCAAAGCCTCAGTTTCTTCATATGTAAATGGAATGACATAATATCTACCTCATACGTCTGAGTGGATTAAGAGAGGGAACATAGACAAAGCACCTACCATAGTATCTGGCACATAGTAGGTACCTTATCAACAGTCACAGTTGTTTTCATCTGTAGTGGAGGGTTAAAAAAAAAGAAGCAGAAAGGTTATTGTAAATCTTGCCTGGCAGGGGGCTCAGGTGGTTGGAGCATCATCCTGAACACAAAGAGGCTGAGGGTTTTGAGTCCTGGTCAGGCGTGTATGGGAGGCAACTAATTGATGTTTCTCTCTGTCTCACTCTCTCCCTTCCTCTCTCTCTGAAATTAATAGAAACATATCCTTGGGTGAGGATTAAACAACAATTTTTTGGAAAAAAAATTAGTTAAATCTCTCGGATGCCTTTGAGTGTCTCCTGATCTTTTCCTGCTTTCTCTATCCTGGTGAAGATGCGTCCACATTAACAGAGGCGATGGTTAATTGCCTTCTGTGGGCTAGATCTGTCCTGAGGCAGCAAATTACCACATCCTTCTTTTTTCTTGAGGCTTCCAATGGGATGTGTCTGTTCTAATTTACTAGATGTCGAAGAGGCCATGCCACATGCACATTTCCAGATGCATCATTTGCATGAACACTCAAGCTTTAACTAGATGGGGAAAGCATTCTGCAAGGGATGGGGGTGGACATCGGTTCATGTTCATTTGAACTGGTGCCAACCAAACTTCCCATTGATTGTGTCTCAGCAATTTTTCTCCTGGAAAAAAATAACGCTCATGCAGATGTCTAGCTGTTGCTTGGGCTTTTTTCATTCTTGAGTTTGCATTGCTTATAGTGTTGGTTCAGTAGTAGTCACATAACACAGGCATCCAGTGGAGCACTCCTCCTACACCAAGCCTCTCTGTTCCCAGCTCTGACCCATCTCCTCCTTGTAGTTCCAGTGATGCAACAGAAAGTGGAAGATGCACCTGCTGGTAGTTGACTCTTTGGCAAAGCACGCTCAAGGTTTGGGCTCAGAGTGCGTACACAGGGGCTCACAGAGGCGGGGAGCTGTAAACTGGAAGCTTCTCTGAATGGACAAGGTCAACCCCAGAACATTATGGTCTTCCTTTAATCTACAGGTAATGCAGGTGGTGAAGGAGCAGGTTATGAGAGCTCTTACAACCAAGCCTAGCTCCCTGGACCAGTTCAAGAGCAAACTGCAGAACCTGAGCTACACCGAGATCCTGAAAATCCGCCAGTCTGAGAGGATGAACCAGGAGGATTTCCAGTCTCGCCCAATTTTGTAAGTTCCCCACCACCTCCACCACCTCAAATCACCTGTCATGTCCATAGGGAAGGCCTCTCTCACAGCGGGGCTGTGTTGGGAACTCTGTACAGGAGGCCAACAGAAGACTTCCCGAAAGATCTCAGTCCACTCATGAAGTTGGAGCAGCCCCCTGATGGAGGCTGGGCGGGTGGGGCTGAGGGGCAGGTGGGCACAGGTACTGGTCAAAGGATGTAAACCAGGAAATGGCCCAGTTATTGCTGAGCCCTCTAAGGAGTTGTGGCTGAAAACCTGAGTTCCTTTTCTAACATTAGGAGCTAACTCCCTTGCCCGTGAAGCTACATTCTATGTAGGTGCCTTTGAGTGACAGGATGCTCTGGCCCAGCCAGATGGAGACCCACTGATAGTGAAAGTAATATAAGCTCTTAAGTAGTGAGTGTGGGAGGAGTGGACCGCTTGAGAGGAGGAGAAATCCACTTCGCCCAGCCCTGTGGGCTCTGCTCGGCATCTTGTCATCCTGCTGTTGTGACTGTCAACCAGCAGAGAGGCAGTGGCCCCCTTTTCATAGGACCTGGCATCAAATCCCACCGACAACACATATAGTTTTATGTATCTCCATCTTTAAGATATTCTGAGCCTTGGGCGTGAGGACTGGTTTTGCTTCATCTTCTCTTAGAATTGTCCTATTTATCTTCCTTTGTCTCTTTCTAGGAAATAGATCAGTTTTCTTACCCTTATAGTTTATAAGGAGGGAAATAGGGAAGGGGGTGGAGGGTCAGGACGCTTATTCTCATTCTGCCCTCAGAAGACTGGAGACAGCTTCTCTTCAACTTTTGTGTGAAGCCAGCTTATAACATAGGTATCCTTGTGGAGCCCATCTTAAACCTATCTGTCCGTCTGTCTGTCTCTCTGTTTCTGGTTCTTTTTCTTTCTGCCTCTTTTTCTGCCTCTTATATATTTGACATTTTTAATGCTTGGCAATTTGCAAAGCACCTCTTTCATTTTCTCCTGTCCATGTGAGATAAGCAGCTCTTATCCCCATTCAAGGACCAGGATATAGTCTAGACAGACGTGGACCTGGTCCGAGAGCAGAAGAACCAGGACTTGAAGTCCAGCCACTAATCCTTCAGCTAAGCTTCGTCTACCTCACCAGAGTTCCTTTGCCAAGTGCCAAATTAAGATGAGGTTTTAAAAAGTGCGCAGGTCTGAAAAGCCAATAGCCAAGTGATAACATCAGCTTGACATTCATTTTCAAACCTTAAGAGTTATCTTTAGAAACGGCAGGACAGAACTACAGGCTCTCAGGGGAATGAAGTTAGGTGGTGGTGCCAGGGTGGGGGAGGGGAGATGCACCGGTCCGTTCTTCCATGGTGCACTGCTCCAGTTTCGGATGGGTCCTCGGTGATAAGGTGACAGCCAGAAGTACTCAGCAGAAAGCACTTTGGGTAAGTGACTGCCTCCTCAGAGCTACGATGTCTCACTTGCAGGGAGGGACAGCAGTGCCTTGCCCCACGCCAGGGGCTCTGGGCCTAAGGCCCTGGAGTTTATAACGTCTGCTTCAGTAGCCGGGTCAGCACAAGGTGACTGTCCTGCACTTCTGGCTGCAGTTCTTAGAACCTAAAGGGAGACTTGAGGAACCACTTCAGTTAAGGCCAAGTGATTCTAAATTAGCATTTGACCATGACTTTGTTCCAAGGAAGAAGGTTAACTGCCAGTCAAGTGTGACTACTTTGCTTCTGCTTGGGTGTCATAGCTTTGCTTCACATGGCTCTGCCTACAACACTGTGAAGTTCTTCCCTTTTTTCCATGAAGCTCTAGTCTCTATGGTGACGCTGTCAGAAGAAGCAACGTAAAAGTGGAGGAAACCTCCTGCACGTATGGAACTTCAGCACCGTCACTTGGCCATAGGACAGAAAAGCAGCCATGGTTCTCGTTATAGTTGCATTGAAGTCCTAACACCTTTTCAGAAGCTATGGCAATTAAGGAGGGAGGGGTGCCACAACCTAATTATTATCTTAGCCCCCTCAGGGCAGGTGGGAGCCAGCCTCCAGCACATTCTCTGGAGATGTTTAATCTGTTAGAATGAACTACTAGACAGGAAGTCATTGTGGGGATGGAGGAAGCCTTAATGCTGCCCAGTGGCTCACAGCATAAACCCAGGTCCACGCAGGAGCAGGCACAGAGAGTGCATGATTGCTTTTATTCCTTCACTCAACAATACATATTGAGCAACTCCTGCCTGCCAGACCCTGTCTGAGGTGAGGGGGATGGGCAGTGAACCAGAGAGACTGGGTCCTGACTGTCTGTCCCAGGCTTAAAAGCTGGGGTGGAGGGGTTACCTGGGCCTCTGCTCAGGGCCCTGCTGGAGGGGGCATTCGTGGGTGAGTTGTCACGAAAGCACAAAGAAGGTGCATCTGACTCAGGTTCAGGATCATTGGCATTTGAGAGCAGAAACACGCCTTTAAGGCTACCTGGTCGAGCTTTTCATTCTGCAGATTGGGGTAATGGCTTGGCCGAGGCCCCCTCTGGCTGCCTCCATGCGGTCCTACAGCACGGTGGTCACCTTGGGGCCTTGAAGACCCCAGGAGGCATGCAGCCCATTTTAGAAAATGTTTATGCTTCCTGAGAATAACAGTGCGAACTCTGTGATGCCGATTTTGTGGGAGACATGTATTCAGCAGGTTGAAGGGTCTCTGTTTCATTTCTTAGCTCTCTCCACTAATGATTTCAGAGGGAACATGTTATTTCCTACTTAGTGGGACTTTACAGGGAACCTAAGTCCATCTATACAATTAATCTGAGTTAATGAAAATCAAAAGCTTGAATAATCCCAAAACAGGTCATTGGACACTATGGGACTTTTGCTGGGGAGGCCCTAGGACACCCCCCAGTGAAGACGATAGCAAAGTGTGGCCACCCAGGGCTGGGAGCTCACAGACCCACGCTGCATTCTGGGGCCACCACTGACAAATGTGCTCTTTGAGGGACTCCTGTGGCCCACCCTCAGCTTGTTTTCTTCACGGCTATAAATGAAGGTGATAAAAGCATTTCCATCACTGGGTTGTCATGGGGAGTCAACAGAGTTGTGTCTGAAAAGGGCTGAGCGTACTTAGCATACGCCTGACACATGACAGCCTCCCCCAGAGAAATGGTCGCTCTGATTATTAGCCCATGGCCCAAATTTTACAAGTTGTCACACTGTTCACACGTACGTGGCAATGCCGACACTATGAATGTATTTGTGTAGGCCTCACCTTATCTCAGGAAGCCCAGTGAGGGTTGACGAGGAAGCAAAAGTAAAAACAAATAGGGCCAGAAACAAGGCTGTGCCCCAGCTCCGCACTCTCACCGCAGGTGGGCCACAGGCTTTGCTCGAGGTATCGCCTACCCAGTGCCAGCAGGACAGGCTGGTCCCTTACACAGTTTTCGTGTTCAGTGCACTTGACAAAGACCTAGCAAGTTCCTGCCACATGCCAGGTACTATTCTATGTGTTGGTGATTCAGCAGTGAAGAGAACAGACACAATTCTCACCCCCGCTGTGATTATATTTTAGTGGGAGAAGCAGACAGGAAACATGGATAATAGATTATAGCACATTTTTAAAAAGATATGGGCAATGGAAATATAAAGCTGCATAAGAAAAATGGAGACGTTATCATGTTAAAAACCAAATGGTCAGAACCGATTCCTCTGGTTAAGAAAGTGACATCTGAGTACAGATGTGTATGAGACGAAAGGAGTGTGCTCTGTGTGTATTCAGGAGAAGGGTATTCCAGCAGAGAACCACCAGTGAAAAGGCCCTAAGGGAGGAGCAGGGCCAGGTGCCCCATAAACAAAGGCATCTAGTATGGCTAGAGCAAAACGAGCAGGGGGAGAACCCTGGAAGACAAGGCCCGCTGGGTGCCTGCGAGCCTGATGCCATAGAGCCTTGTTGGGGGCCAGCGAGAGAGTTTTGAGGACTGACATGCTCTGACTTAAGGTTTGACTGATCCCTGTTGGCACTGTATTGGGAGGCAAGTTAGGAAGTTATTTCAATAATCCAAGGAAGATGTGGTAAGAAGGAGAATCCTTACTATAGATCAGATAGATGTGGAAGGTACGAAACAAAGATGTTTCCTGATTGATTGAATGTGGGGTGCAAGAGAAGGAGGGGAGTCGAGGATGAGCTCCAGCTCTGGGGCTCCGCACTAAGAGACAGAGTAAGGTTCCAGATAGAGGCAACAGGAGTTCACCTTCGGACACATCACGTGCGCAGTGTCTGGGCGACAGCCGAGCAGACAGTTGGGTTGACGAGTGTGGAGTTCAGCTGAGAAGTCTAGATTAGAAACATAAATTTGGGAGTTGTCAGGATGAAGTTGGTATTTAAAGCCGGGATTCTATAACATACACAACAGAAGATGCGCAAGGACTGAGCTTGGAGGCCTTCCAACGTTGAGACAGGACAGTTTCCATGGAACAGGTGCGGCCCCTCAGCTGGAAGCCTCCACCGCGCCCTTTTACAGCCCGGGGCCAGCACCCTGGCGCTCTGAGGCCAACTCTGGAACACTGCCATTCCGGTCACCAGAGTTTTATTGGAACCCAGCCACACTCCTCCGTTTACACACCATTGACTCCTTTCACTTGACCACGCGAGAGTTAAGTCCAATAGTTGCAGCAGACAGTGAATGACCCACAAAGCCTGAAATAATGTACTCTCTGGCCTTTTACAGAACACCTGTGCCAACTTCTGTTCCAGATGAACACTGGGGAGCAGCTCAGTCAGGCAGACCTCAGGTCCAGAAAAGGGTCTCACCAGCCTAGGGTGCTCTCTCTCTTCTGTGTTCAGCCTGGACTTAAAATTATCGCAATGCTAGACATGGGATTGCTTTTCACACTCTCATTTGCCTGCCCCTTTTAATTGCCTTCCTTTTATTGATTTACCAGGACTTTAGATAGAACTAGAGGAATATTTATCAAAATAAAGCCAGTGAAACCATGCCTTCCCCACCTGGGAACAGAGCATCACAGGAAGACGGATCACCTGAAGTTCAGAGCAAGTTCAGGGTTATGGATGTGTGAGCCTTGAATACTATTGAATGAGGAGTGTTTGGAGAATACAATCAGAGCAGACTCAGCACTGCCTTGCCTCCTGCCCCAGGCTTAGGAAGACTTGCTCACACACTGTCTCCTTTGGGGGTCACAGCAGTTTCCCAGGAAAGATCCTTTCTTATTTCCATTTCACAGATGAGGAAACAGACTTAGATGGGCTACATGAAGGACTCACCTTGGGCAGAGCTGAGATTGAAGTCCCAGTCTTCTGAGTTCTGGATCTCCATGCTAAGCAATACTTCTAACATTGGTCTGAGAGCTGAGCCCTGTTCTCCCTGTTTGCCTTCCACTAGGGCAGCTCTAGTTAGATTCAAATGCTAGGGAATCTCGAGTGATTTTTTTAAAAAAATCTCTGCTCTTAAAGAATAGATTTTTAAAAACCACTGAATTCTATCATGGTATCTTTACAGTGCAGTGCATCAAAAACGAAATTACATTGTGTTAGACAGGTTGCAAATAATCCTCAATATATTTCACCGTTATCCCAATCTCTGGGGGCCAGAATCCGAGATGATGCCTTGTTCCCGTTTGTGAGTGACAGAACTGAAAGCAGAATGTGGGCCTGTGGTTGGCCCAGGACTCAGGGTGTGCCATGAAATAGTAACAGTGCCATGGTCCCATGTCCCTGTTTGATCAGATCACAAATGTCATCTCTCGGTTTCCTGCTGGGGGTGGAGGGAGGGTGTAACCAGAGATTTATTGTCACAGCAGAACTGACATAAGTTCTTTGCATAAGTTTATATCTGTGGCTTTCTAAATACAAAAAGAAATTTCTTGGAACAATTTTGTCTAAAATAACATCCCTGAAGGGGATAGTGCTTTGTTGAGTATTCTGTAAATGTCAGAAAATCTATAGAATTATTGTAACAGAGTTATCGACACCTCATAAATGATTCTCTAAGCAGGGGTGTCCAATGTTTTGGCATCTTTGGGCCACACATTAAATACATTGAGACACGTAATCACAAAAGAATCCATAATGTTTGAGTAAATTTATGACTTTGTGTTGGGCTGCGTTCACAGCCATCCTGGGCTGCATGCAGCAGGTGGACCATGGGTTGGACACCAAAGTATACCTTGGGAGGTATTGGGGTGTTCATAAAAAGAAAGAAAAAAAAGCTGCATGCCTCCTACTCTCCTACCCCTGCTCTTGAAGCCTGCTGCAGAATATGTGTTTATTTTCACAGGGAGCTCAAGGAAAAGATTCAGCCAGAAATCTTGGAGCTGATCAAACAGCAACGCCTGAACCGCCTCGTGGAAGGGACCTGCTTTAGGAAACTCAACTCTCGGCGAAGGCAAGGTATTGTGCCTGGGGTCACTCCACACCCTGCTTGGGTGCACCACAGCCTACCTCCTGGGGGCACAGGGGTGTGGTGCTGGTTTAACCGCAGGCCATGCGGCACAGCCCTGGGAAGTTCAGGTGCCCTGTGCATACCCAAAGAGAGCTAAAGTTCCGAAGCACCGAATCCATGGAGCTGAAGAGCCATTCTGGGCCATTTAGGGTTGTGAATTTGCTGGTTGTGGCTCAACAGGAGCTAATATGCACTGTCTAAGAGCTTACCACTTGCAAGGCTGTCATTTAACATATGTGAATGCACTTCATCTGCACAGTAACCCTAGAAAGGGTCTATTGGGATTGCACCCAGTGTACAGATAAGGAAACCAAGGCAACAAGGGATTAAGTATGTGGTCCAAAGTCGTGGAGTGGCAAGGATTCTCTAGCAACTCTATGGCCCTTACTTTTAATGACTCCCTATGCTGTCAGGCGAGCTGACACTCACTGCTGGATTTGACCTTGGAGCTTTCAACATACATGGACCTTTTTCTCCACCCTCCATATGAGTAACTGAACCAAGGTGGGATAGAATCCATTTCATAACCTTGTAAGATAAATCTCTGAATTGCCTCTCTAAACTCTTAATTCCAAAATTTCACGTGAAAATGGGTGCCCTTAGACTAGATCCAAAAGGTGGAACACGCTTCCAGCTGTTTCTTAGCCACACAAGTCCAGTCCCTCGATTGCTTTCTTGTTGTCTTGACATGCTGCTGATTGCAGAGTCAAAGTGCTCACACCACACTGAAATAAAGAAATAAAAAATAAAACTGAAAAGTAGGCTTTGGGGAGAGGTGAAGACACTGAGGAGCAGCCAGAAGCAAGCACCAGTGTTAGCTCCCGTACCAAGAATAAACACCTGTCACGGCTCAGGAGGCACTCTCACAGGCATTTGTGAACCGGGATGGGTGTCCTGTCCAAACTCGGGGCTTGCCTACCAACGACAGATATCGTTCATGGTCATGTTGAGCCCGGCCCCTGACCATTTACTCTGAGAGCTTTGGGCTGAATATTGAGTAAATGCAATGATGTCAGACGTTACCGTTAAAAATCATGTTCTAGAATTTCCAAAGGCAGAACATCCTTGAGGAATGAAAACACAGATTTTTCTCAGAGGATGAGAAGCCATGACAATGAACTTCAAGCTGGGTCTCCAGAGAGGACAGAGGACAGAACAATACAGGGCTGAGTCACAGCTGGGACTCGGGGTCCCAGACAGGCTGACATAGGAAGATCAGTGCAGGAGCGAACCCAGAGCCCCCACACAGCCATTGAAGGACAAGCTCACTCCCTCCTTACTCACATGGACGTCTTTGTCAGAGTAAGTGCTGTTCCAAGAAGACAGTGTGGGCACAGTGGTGAGGACGACCCCCGAGTCAGACAAAGTAGCTGCAGTCCTGCCCCTTCCTCCCCAGCTGTGTGACCTTGGGCAGTTCCCCAACTGAAGCAGGGATAGCAGTGCCTGACCCTTAAAGTTACTGTGAGGAGGAAGGTGATTGTGAATGTCAGCCTTAGACACCGGCAAAGGGTGTCTGTCTAGGGGCAACAAAACCTTTGTTTTAGAAGATCAGTCAGGAAAAGAGCACTGGCCTAGGGTGCACAGGCTTGGTTCTAGGCTCCTCAACTCTGTAAGAAACCACGTGGACATCCTAAGGGAGGATGTGCAACTTCTCAGGACCACAGCTTCCCATCTATTAGAAAGACTTGGACCACATGGTCTGTTAGTTCTATGAACCAGATAGTTGATTACAGTGTGTGCCCTGCTGGTTTCATTGCCTTTGGAAAAATCAGTATTCAGTATATGTCACCCCATGATGTGATTTATTAAGTTTTATTTACTTAATGTTGGGCAAAAGGCACAGAAGTGGGGCAAGGGGAGGTGGCACATACACATACCGCCACCAAATGCCTCCCCTGGGGCCCGGCTAGGGTCCTTGGAACCTGGTTCGAAGAACTCAGTTGGACCTCACTGCCTACTTCACCACCAGACCTCTCCTCCCAGGAGGACATGGGTAGGTTCTGCTGGAATAGTCCCATTTCTAAATGTAATGACTACAGGTTTTTTGTTGTCGTTTTTGGTTTTTTGCTAAAGAAATCTTAGTCCCTTATCTGCACATTTTTCCAGTTTTTAAACACGAATTACCCAATGAACAAAAACCATTAGCATCTAGATTATAAATGTATTATTCGGCTCCCCAGGGAGCCTGGCCATCTGTGTTTAAAATGAAATCATCCTTCCTACTACAGAAAGGAAGACTTCGGGGTGGTTGGAAACTGGGATGGTTTTAGAATCTGGCAGCTGGCTCACTGTGCTTCAGACTGTGCTGACAGTGGCTTCATATCTCCCCACCTAAACATTTCGTTCAGACGTACACAGATGAATGAGGACGTGACATACGATCCTCCGAATCCCTTCAAGAAAGGTGCACTTTCACGTGCAACTTCAGATGGCACAGCCAGGTGCCATCACAGGTTGAAGAGCAAGCACATCCACGAAGGAGCCAGAGGCGTCGAGGATTCCGGAGCTGCATCCCACCGTGGAAGGGAGCAGCGGCCTGCAGGGTGGCAGAATGCCAAGTCCCAGCATCGGACTCTCATCCTAGAGCGCAGCCTGCGAAGCGAGGAGGATCTGCAAGGCAGAATGACCTTCCCATCATCTGTCCCTACAGTTGTCTTCCTTCACTGGACCTAGAGAAAAATCTTGTGTCTCATCATCTGAAAGATGACATTTCCCTTTCAAATAACTGCTGGCGTCCCTCATGTTTGGTGCTCTGGAAAGGTTCAACCTCAGGCAGCAAGTTGACCATCTCCTGAAGATTCTGCACATTTTTGACTAACCTACAAAAGATCCTACATCTTAGAAGTGGCCCAAGAAGTGACTATAGGAAAGGCCATATCACTGCCTCCCCCACACAGGGCTCCCAGGGCCCACTGAGTCCACGCGGAGTCGATCAAGATCGGTTCTTGCTGCACCTGGGGCCTCACTGAGCTCACCAGCATCTCACACGCAATAGCGGTAGCTATTGTTCAGCTTGGCTGTCTCTCCCAAAGACCTGCGAGCGGGCCCACACTCATCTCCAGCCTGCCTGATGAAGGCAGACAATAAGCTACACTGTTTAATATAGCTACCTATGGCCAGAGTCATTAAAATCAAATGGAATTTAACATTTCTTTTCATCCTCTTGATAAAGCAGACACAGGGTATTTCCATCCTTGCGTGAAGTTCAATCGAACATTACTGCGAGAATTACAGTCGTCGGTGGTGATTAGCCCCATAATGATCTCTGTGACATTGGGAATAGCTTTAATCAGCCCCGGAGACCTTCTTACCATGCTTGTGAATTTTGAAAGCAGTTTTTCCCTCTGATCCTTCAGAGAGAGAGAGACAGACAGACAGACACAAAATTGTCCCCATACTTTCCATTTTTGAGTTTGGGGACTGAATAGCTGGCTGCTGATGCACTAACCTCCTAATTGACTGGAAGGCCTCTATATTAACTCCCGTTTTCTCCTGAATGCTGGTAAACAATCTGTGATAATGTTCTCACTGCTTCTTGCTAATTACTTTCAGTGACAAAATCCACTCATTCATGGCCCAGAGGGATAGAGGCACTAGTGACTTCGTGCTGGGTTTTGAAAAGAAAATACGCATTTTTCTTACTCTAAAAGAAACTGAAAATCAAGCTGCGGCTAGTGGCTGATGCTGAACCGGTCTCACCCACAAGTGGGTGCTGCGTTGAGCAGAGCTGGCGGCACTGCTTTTCTTTACAGCCTCTCCCACTTCAGGGAGGATGTACCAAGCTGGGAGGCCACCAGTCCTCCCCAGAACTCAGCACCCCGGTCTCTGTCCCATGGAAGATGCTGACTGAGTGTCAGCATGTGAGACTCAGAAGTCAAAGCCCCCTTCCCAGTATTTGTCATCCACCCCAGACTTCCTATCTGATGGGACAGAGAAGATCCCACCACTTACAGAGAAAGAGGAACTTACTTAGGACCAGAGAAGGGTTGGGCAGAGGTCAGAGAAAAACCCGAGGTGGCTGGTGGCATGACGTCAAGAGAATGTAAGCCTCCAGTCGGAGGAAGTTCTGTCTGCTGCACATCAGACACTGTTATGGCCGGGCCCCCAGTGTCCTTTTGTTTCCTTTATACAAACATGGATGGCAATGTTGCCCCAATAACCTGATAAACAGCCATTGTTCTCTAGTAGTTTCTGAAGGTGAGGCTGTGTTGCATGAGAGACCCTCTCTATTCCTGCTTTTCCCTGCAGAGCACACAGCACTGCTGAGTCCCTGTCCCTACCTCTTTGACCTGGGAAGCAAAGGTTCCCACGGCCTCTCTCTTGGTGGCCATCAAGAAGGGAAGGAGCTCCTTCTCCCTGAGTTCCATGGCCTCGTTCCTGACTCCTACCTTCCATCCCAGTGAGTCCCTGCTCTCCCCAGGGAGAGTGCTGTGTGCATCATAAGTGTACTGTGGACATTCAGTGGACAAACTTCCCTGGAAAATATACACAGCCAAGTTTTTTTGAAGTCTTACAAATGAACAGAAGTTTTGCACTTCCTCCAAGCTGTATCTATTCATACCACTTACTGCTCTCAGCGCCTCCCCACATGGATGAGGATGACCTCTGCTGCACCACATCGGCCCTGGGGCCTTGGGTTCCCTCTAGAGGTAAACTCCAGCCCCCGGGACCACCTCCAACTTGAGAAGCGAGGACTTCCTAGAAGGAACAAGCTAAGACATTACTCAAAATAAGGCCAGTGTCCACCTGTTAACAGCTTACTGACTTCCTTCCTGGGTTTCTGTCCTCTTTCACTTGCTCACTTAGCCAAAGACCCCACCTCCGAGGAGACAGAGGAAGGGAAGTGTTACAGCCAACTTCTCCCACCAGATCTGCGGTCAGCACAGGCTGTGTAGATCAGGTGGAAGCTCCTTCTGGGCAGCCCCGCCAGGACCCAAAAGCGGGGCTGACAGCTGACAGCCGAGGCATGGGCCACCCCTTTGACATTCACAGTTCCCGCTGTGGATTACAGGTCAAATTCCCAGATCTGTTTTCTCCACGGAAAACTGGTAGTGACCCGCTTGCCTCATTGAAATGGCTGTGAGTTATTCAGGAGTATTATTATTTTCTCCCTTTGATATACTCTTCCAGAAAAATGATGAGATATAAATACATATATATACATAACGTAATTTTGAAAATGTAGCAATTCCAGATGTTTTCCTAGCCATTAAATAACTATTTCTTTCCTCTCAAAATTTTCTGTCAGAGTTCATTTAAAATGATTGTTTTAAATATGTGAATTGCCCTGTTCTGACAACATCCAGGAATTCACAAGCCATATTTATAGACGGGGAAGATAGTCGCTGAGACTTTTGTGGATCAAGCGCAAGTGTTTTCTTTGTTCATTGTGCAGCTTTTTCTTCCATTTTTAGACTTTCTTCTTCTATTAAAAGAGTCATAGTTAACACATGCTTTTTCAGTAAAAGCAATCTTAAATAGAAAAACAATTTTCTTAAAATGTTACGGGGAGTATTTTAGTCAGAGTGGTTTCAAAGTACTGTGTGTTGGTAGACACAGAAATGAGGTGATTTCGCCAAGGCCGCTGCATCTGCCAGCTGCACAGTGGCACAGAGGGGTTACGGTCACACGCACTTTGCGCCCTAAGTGTTTTACCAAATCCCCTTCGGCCTTCGTTTGTCAATTTTGCCAGCATCAATTGTGCACTTCTCGGTGCCAGGCTTTGTGCCAGGGGAGTGGGGCAGGGCAATTATGAGGATAGTTGCAGAGAGCCTGGCTTCTCCATGCTGGCAAGGCTGATGAGTATCCTGGAGTCTCCTTTCATCAGCAATCAGTCACAGTGCGCCCATTAGGACAAGTTCCTGACCTAAGATATGTGACACATCATAGAAAACACTAAGGTGCTTAACATGTCAGCCCCTGTGATCAAAGAAGATGCTACAGCAGCTACAGCAGCTAAGGGGAGAGTCCCTTCTGCTGTAGTAATCAAAGAGGACTTCCTGGAGGAGGTAGCATCTAACTCAGCCTTAAGACCTGCACAAAGATTGCTGTCACATTGAAGTTTCTTATCTATAAAAGTTTCTCTTGCCTCCTTTTCCCAACCTGACAGGCTTATTCAACAACTTTTACGATGTTTGGGGACAGAGAGGAGGTTAAGTTGAAGAAATTGTTTATAAGAATGATCCTAGGCCCTCATCCTGCCTATGTAAAGAACCAAACTCAAAGGATTGGACAGGAAATGACTGTGAATGTTCTCACTCTTTGTATAAATCCCTGGGTTACTTAGATTATTTCCAGCCCTGTGTCTATCACTCACATCCTAACAATCCGTTCATTGATTAATTTGTGATATTAGCCTCCAGGGTTGGAGGTTTTGTGTGCCATCTAAGACACCTCTGACAACTATCGCAACCGACTCAACATCTCCGAGAGGAAAGTGGAAGCAGCCAAGTGCTGAGAAATCTGCTTGCTCTGAACCTCACTCCCTGTCTCTCTCAGGCTTGTATGGACCAGGAATAAACCCCATAGTTGCTATAGAAACTGCTAAATAGCCCTCTGGAAGCCACCACCTCAGAAAACCTGTTGCCATTGTCTTAGAAGGCTGTGAGACCTTTCCCAGCAGCTCTCAAATGTATGTTCAGCAGGTCAGGTGCGAACTGGCCATCAAAATCAGAAGGGACTTGCCGATCAGGGCTCTGGACCTCATTCCTTTCTGAAGACTTCAATCAGATGGATGGCTTGTTCTTCCAGGCTATCCTATCAGGAAACAAAGATGTCAACATTTTTAGAAACCAGAATTACTTACCTTGTACATTTGTGTTTTCTTCCTCAGACAAGTTTTGGTATTGCCGGCTTTCACCAAACCACAAGGTCCTGCATTATGGAGACTTGGAAGAAAGTCCTCAGGGAGAAGTGCCCCATGATTCCTTGCAGGACAAATGTAAGTGGCCATCCTGGGCAGGGGGCCCAAGCTGGGGGTTGCTTGTTTCCTGGTCACTAAATATGCAGAAAAACTATTCACCTACATAAAGCCACCGGGTGTGTCTCATGTCATTGTAAGTCCCGGCTTGAACGATCTTGTTATCCCTCCCCACATTTATGTCTTAGAGTTGAGTGTATCCCGTACTTGGAATGCAGTGCTAATGGAAGACCCAAATATGGCCGCCTATTTCAAGGGCATAATGCAGGCACTTGGGAAATTTAGGATGAACTACATTTTATTTTTTCTACATATTCCCTGAAATACATATTAATGGATATTTTTATACAATGTCTGTTACAATGTATATATTTTGAATAACCAAGAATATGATAGATTATTTTAGTCAAACACCAAGCCAGGTTCCAGGTTATTTATTTATTTGTTTGTTTGTTTGTTTGATTTTAGACTGTGTGTGTGTGTGTGTGTGTGTGTGTGTGTGTCAGTGGCGGGAGAGAGAAAGAAACATGCATTTGTTGTTCCACTTACTGATGCATTCATTGGTTGATTTTTGTATGTGCCCTAACCTGGGATTGAACCTGCAACCTTGGTATAATAGGACAACGCTCTAACCAACTGAGCTACCCAGCCAGGTCCTGTTTTAATATGTATATTTTGAAGAACCAGTAAGGCACTAGATTATTTGAACCCAACGCCAAACCAGTTTCCAAGTTTTTTAGACAGCATTCAGTGTACATATTAAATGAGGTACTATAGCAACATTAAAATATAAAGGCCAGTGAATTAATTTGGAAGAGAAATTACAAGAAATGAACATAGCTTCATATCCCAGGTAGAGAAATCAAAGAGTGAGAAAACTAAAGACAATTTTAAATAACCTTTAAAAGTCACAGTAACCCTGCAGTGAGTCACATAACATGTGTCCCAGACTGAGACCTTGCCCCCAAGTCCTAGCGCCTTCCCACTTGTCACCCCAGGGCCCATGGAAGTCAACAGGAGACTGTCTTCCTCGAAGCTCATGCCATCAGAAGTGAAAATAAATCAGGAGTGGAAAATTCCTCGCACATCAAGACACTGCTGGTATATCAGACAGACAGCCTGGAACATTCTCTCTCCCTCCCGCTTGAACATGGGACAGTCTGGGCTCTGTAGCGTCATTTAGTTCAGACAGCCATGTCCTTTCCCGGGGACACTGCCTCCCCAGTGCTGATGATTGACACCGTTAATGGGAAGAGAAGAAAATGGAAACCTGCCGCCACTGAGTCTGGGGAGCATCTACACGTCCTTGCAGGGGGGCATCCCGGGCCCCTGTCCATAAGGACGACCCTCCCTTCAGGTCTCAGGAAGCATGCCCTATCCCGCTGTGGACAAGCTAGACCACTGCCTCTCAGAAAAATGGGTTTCGGACCAGCAACATCACCTGGGACCTTGTTGGAAATGCAGATTTTAGGCCTCGCTTCTGGACCTGCGGGCTCAGCAGTCCTGGGTGGGGGCGGAGCAGGGGGCCAGCAGTCTCTGTCTGAATGGGCTCTCCAGGCCCTGCTGGTGCTCAGTCGAGGGGAGAACTGCGGGCCGCCTGTTGCCGCATGCTCTTCACGGTGGTTCTTCGAATTTAGCTTTCACCAGTAAGCCCAAGTTTAAAAGAACAGCAACAGTGAATGGGTAGTGGGTGACCAACTTTTAATTTTGGCAAACAAGGGTATTAAAAATGACATATAACTAAAATTTTATATCACAGTACTTTCATTTAAAAAAAAATTACTCTAGCCAGGTGGATCAGTGGGGTGGAGTATCATCCCATTCACCAGAAAGACTGTGGGTTCAGTTCCTGGTCAGGGCACATAGCTAGGCTGCAGGTTCACTCCCCTGTGTGGGAAAGAACTAATTGATCTCTCTCTCTCTCTCTCGAATTAATTAACATATATTCTTAGGTAAGGATTTTTTTTTTAAAAGAGGACTTTAGGTCACATCACAATAAACAGTAAGGAAGACCTAATCTTAGAATGAGCAACAGTCCCTCCTATGTAATTAAAGTCACTTCATTAACCACTCACACCCATGTTTCCATCCTCCTCTGATTTCTAACTGGTGAAGACTCCCTCAGGAACTAGGCACTGCCCAGAGCCAGCACCCTGGAATCAGCTCCACGGTGCTGAAATGAGGAGTCAGGTCCTACTGTTGGCCACGGCTACTGGAAACTCTGTGCAGAGTCTTCCACGGCCTCCATCCTCACCTGCTCAAGAAACAGGGAAAGTGGTCCAGGCAGAAAACAGACAGACAGACAGCTGATTGGTTCCTTTCCCACGTGGCCTGAGGAATCATCTCTTCCACTCACAAGATGTGTCATTTGTCTCCTTGTTGACAGGGACAGAAGCCACTTCTCAGTGCACAGACAGGCACTTGTTTGGCACTGACGGCCGGTTTCGTGCACACGCTCCCTTGCCAGCAGGTCCCGTTGCTGAGGAAATGGGTTAGAGAAGGTCACAGCATGGACAGCACCTGAGCCTCATGCATGGGCACTTCCTAGCATTGCCCCAAAACTGGTGCCCACACCCTAGCTCTACCAAGACCCTTACCCACAAAAGCACAGGGTGACAGTCACTGGCTAGAAGCCAGGAATGCTTTCATCAAGGTGGTGGCGGAGCACGGCCGAGCTGCAGACCTCCCAACAGCTGCTGGTGAGGGCCTGTGAGCGACGCCACTTCCGGGAAGGGGCTGCAGCTGCCCACTCCACCAGTGGTTCAAAATTCTTGTCCACCCTTTCCCTCCTGCTTTTCAATCTGGTCATTCGGAGTTTGGAAGAGCTGCTTTGTAACAGTTTACCCACGACAGTCAAAATCAAAAACCCATACTTACGCAGATATATGCACTTGTGCTTGGGTGACATTACATGTGTGCACGTGTGTCCCAGATTCAGGTTGTCTTTGTGTAATGAAATCAAACGAAGCTATTATGCACCTGAGCTGAGCAGGGCCCTGGCCCAGGCAACTAAGTTTGCTGCCTTGGGCCGGCTACCTAGTTTGCCTGCCATTGCAATTACACATTCCGCCTGGAGCAAGTAGCCCATTCTCCGGGAGCCCTTGAAAGTCAGAAACTTCAATCCACCAGAAAAATGAGTCGTGTCTTTAATTAATGTCAAGTGCCATTGCTCCTGCCTGGTGTGATTGCCCTCTCTTGAGACCAAAAGGGAAATCGCCTTCTGCCCCTTCAGTTAATCAGTGCTGACTATTGAGATATCAATGAATCAAACAGTGTAATTGAATCTTCTTCCTACGGAAGAATGTGAGTGAAGATGGTGGGACTCCCTTTAGCTGTCTTCATCCCTAAGGTGGAGGAAATCACTTTCTCCCATTTGTTTTATTTGACAGGAAACAAGGCCCTTAAAAATCCATATCCCCTTCCATTCGCTCACCCCACAGCCCTCCCACTAGGTGGATAAGCCTCATCACCCCACTGACCACTAGGCTCTAGTGTTTTCCACCCCTGGGCCCCCGAGCACCTCCCTTGGAGAGGATGTAGGCCTGCACGCCACACGCCAACATCAAAGACACGGAAGAGAAGGCTCACCCCTCACACAGGCCACGAAGCCTATTAGGATGAGAAGCACAGCAAGACAGCAAAGCAAAGCAGGCAATTCCATCAGTGATGCATGGTGAATAATTCAGGTCCCCCAATCAATGGAGAGAACTAACTCTGGTTATTGATAATGAGAACAATTCCAAATAATGTTTATTGAGTGCTTATCATAGGCCAGGCACTGTGCTGAGAACTTTCCGCTCATTATCTTCTGGACAACCTGAAGTGGTAGATACCCTTGTCCTTGTTTTAGAGATAAGAAAACTGAGCTACAGAGAAATCAAGCGACTTGTTCAAGGTCACATGGCTAGTAAATGGTAGGACAAAGATCTGAATGCCACCATCCTACTTCACGGACCAGCTTCTTACACACTTACCCACATTGAAAGCCAACAGTTATCTTGGCTCCAACATCAGGCGTTAAGTCTTAAAGCAGCGCTCTGAGATGGACGACATTACAAGTCCACATTGCAGGCCAGGAAGCTTCGGCTCCCAGAGCATTAGCCCAAGGTGGTATAGCCAGTAGGTGTGTCTAGCTTTCAAACCAGATTTCAAACAGGCTCTGTGATCCCAAAGGCACTGCCCTTCCCACCACTCCGTGCCACCAGCCAAGAGAGCAGGTTCTTCACCTTGGTGTGCCAGCCTCGGCCTGCACCGCCGCCTCTGCAGCTGCGCCCATGCGAGCTGTGTTCACAGCAAGTGCTCATGGCTTACCAGCTACTTCCTGGGTTGTTTCTGCCTCAGCTTACCTCCCAGTGGTGAAAACGAAAATGACTTTTATCACAGTGGCCATATTTACCTTTTCAATGCTATTTTTGTTTTAAGTCATAATTGACAAACATAAGGAGAAACCATGACCTGCCAAGGGAACATGGAGCGGAACAGAGACCAATAGTCCTGGCTCTGTCTTCCTATATAACTTTCAATAATTTATTTCCTCTTTAGGTCTCAGCCTTCCCATCTGTGCAATGGGAGTATTGAATTAGATCACCTCAAGCCAGCTCAAAGTGAAGGAAGCATAGAAAGAAATGAAGCCATGCCTGAAGAATTTAGAGTTGAGGGCAGGGTACCAGAAGTGACCATCCTGTCCTCATATCTCTGGGCCCCACTTCTTTATGCTGCCCCCCTCAAAAGACCATGGAAACTCTCACCTGGCTTTGACATTATCAAGAGCCCTCTGCTGCCTCCTTAGAGTACAGATTCAAGGGATGTGAGTCTAATTCTTCTTGTGGGAATAGAGAGAGTGGCATTTCAGCCCTCAGATGCCTACTCTTCCAGCGCATCTAGAGGCAAACTATGCAAAGAACAACCTTTAAAAGCCACAGTGTATTTTTAGAATTTTGTGTTTTCCTTTTAGCCATAATCCTGTGAGTAATAGAGCAGCTTGTCTCCTTGACAGGGGACAATGTATATAAAAATATTAAATATGTACTGCCACAAACGAGGTGAAAAGTGCCTTCTCTCCCCTGGAGCCTCCTCATTAGAGATTCTGCAGGCTGTCCCCACAGTGGACTTTGTGTTAATCTTGTCCCATTGCACATGATGGGTTTTCAAAGCCAAGGGGGGTGACTTGCTATTTATAGATTGTTCACACTCTGTAGTTCATGGGCCATGTTACAGATTATACAACAAAGACTTTCTGCTTCTGGGGTTCTTACGACTCAGCCTCCATCTGAAGCTTGAGAAGGTTTTCTGAACAGCTACATTAATATGTCAAATTCACTTCAGTGGTGCATTTTCCATTGAAAAGCAAACCCAGTGTCCCAAAGTGCCTAAATGTCCCCCTTCTTAAGCAGCCGGATAGGCCGCTGAGAGGAACAGAGCTGATCCATGGTTATGAAAATGGATTTGAGGAGAACTGAAGCTCGCAGTTGTAGTCAACAGTATGTTCAGGAGTCATAGGGACCAACCACAAGGAGGTGCCAATTCAAAGGAGTGAGGCGGAGGCAGGAAAGGGGTCCGAGTAAAGGGTCTGCCACTCAGGATAGATGGCATCGGTATATTCTGCAGTGGGAGTGAACAACCCCCAAATCTCAGTGGCTTAGGACAACAAGAGTTCATTTCTCACTCCTCACATTATATAACCAACATGAGTTGTCAAAAGACCACTTTACATGGTCACACTGGGACCAAGGCCAGAGGCTGCTTGGCCATTCCATAGCTATGCCATTGGATGGAACACGGGACCTGTTTAGTTTCTGCAACTGGGGAAGAGTGGCTGTTGGGCATTGACTTTTCACTGCCTCAGCCAGTGAAAGAGACTTGCCATTTCCTCTTACATGTCATTGGCCAGAACTAATCCCATGGCCCCAGAGGTTGCTGGGAAGCGTAGTCTCCCATATGCCCAGAAAGAAAGGAAGGCCAGATATTAGTGAGTACAAGTAATGTCAACCACAGTGGTCTAGAATCAGGACTGCAAAACATCAGAGGACCGACAGCTGGGGCATGTGCAGAGATTCCCAGGAGAGTGCATTGCAGCCCTACTCTGCTCTAGAGTTAGACGGCACTCCAGGAGTGTCAACAGATTTGCATGAGGTTCTTAACCATTCTAGGGTACCTGGGAAACGTTAGCTATATATTTTATAATTTTATCATCATCTAAGTGTCTCCCCCAAAACCTAATTCCCCAGTAAAAGTATGTGAACATTAATTATGAAATTGCTCGTCATCTTCATCATTAAGGGAATGATTACTAAGGAAATTACTGATTGATTACTTAGGAATTCATTACTGAAAGCTTCCACAGAGCCTAAGTGAGACCTCACAGTCTGTTATGGGACAAAAGATTAGAAGCTGGAGATGGACGGGTGACTTTGATTTTTTTTTTAAGTTTCCAAGCCATCCAACTGCCTTCTCTCTCTCTCAGATTATTTTAACGCAAAGTTTTAAATGTACAAACCTTTCCATCTCTTTTATCTCCTTCCAAGTCCTGCGTAAAACATGAGACATCTTTTCCTCCAACTGCACAATAAATACCAGCTACTGTTTCCGTATCAGACAAGAATGTTCCCTTTACTGGAGCTCAGTTCCATTGCCTGTAAAGTAGGGATAATGAAACCTGCCTCAAAGAATTGTTGTGGGAAATGACAAGATGATGGAGAGGGAGATGACAGAGTTCAGGACTATTTGGATTCAAATGCATTTTCTGTGATGAGGCTGCTTTTCCTGATTATCCTAAACTCAGAAGCTAAATAGATGTAGCTAGTTCAGCAAGAGCTGCTGATAAATGGGAAGCACTTGGCATTGCTTCTGGCACACAGTGTCTTCCAGAATATCAGTGTTGGTACCACTAATACTATTATTACTGCTTCCTCTAATACCATCACTTTTCACATGGCTGTGTTGGGATTTTTTGAAGTTATTTGTTTTAGTGAACCAAATGCTGCTTATCAGCATAGATTTTTTTTCTCCCCAGGGTTGCTTTTTGCCAGAATATAAGAATATAGTTTAGTTTCTACGTCCTGGCACACTACCCAACTTCTCTTCCTCATTTTAACTCTATTCTCTTTTGCCACAGTTTCTGGGAATGGCAGCTTGCTAGCAGACTTGATGGTTAATCCTTCTTTGTTGACATCTCAGCTTTTACGTGGTGAAGTTACTTTTGTCTTCTTTTATGAATTCCAGTGCCGGTGGCAGACATCAAAGCAGTGGTGACGGGAAAGGACTGTCCTCACATGAAAGAGAAAGGTGCCCTTAAACAAAACAAGGTAAGGTTTCCAATGATCGCAGATAGTTCTGTGGGAACAATGCAGGTAGCAGTGGGCCCAGCCTTCCTTCTTGGGTAGCAATGCTTGTGTGTGTGCTTATACACCTTTTTCCCTTCCCGATTTCTTTAACATCTCTCAGCTTTATTTTTCCTCCATTGACCATGTATTTAATCCTTGCCATGCCTTCCGTTCTCTGACTCCCTGCCTAGCTCCAGCCCTAGGAATTGCTACTCCCTGTTATCACCCAGTCTTCTCTCCAGCCTTCCCTGCTCAACCCACACATTCTCTGGTCCTCTCCTAACCTCCCATTTATGTTTCTATTACCCCTTCCCCAACTCCCACCCCAATCTATTTCATTCTCTCCCGCTGCTATCACCTTCTCAGAAGCCTCCATTGGGGTCTCTGTGAAGCCCAAGAAAAGCAGAGACCAAATGATTCAGAAAGTTTTAGAAAATAGTTAAGGCCCTGATATCCTTCAGTGTGGTAGAAAGTACTGTGAAATGGCTCAAACCCAGCTTCAAGGAGAGAATTTCCCCCAAAGGTACATTGCTTAAACCCTCTTCACATTGCAGTGGTCTCCACCCTCCCCTCCTAGTTGACAACCTGGACATTCACCATGATGGCCCATGTTCTATACCAGAGGCTGTACAGAGACTTCTTCTGGAAAGACGGGCTCCAGTTTAGAAGTATTTGCCCTCGAAAGAGCCGTCAGGGAGCCAGTTCTCTGTTTATCCCTCTTGGCATCTTCTGATATGTAATACCCATCCATGAATAAAACTACCCAGATTGATCTGGGTGCCCCAGCCACCTTGGTCCCAAAAACATCACAGAAATCAATAGGTTGCTTTTTTATTTTCAGTGTTAGTATCTAAGAGAAATATGACCTTTATATACATTTTCCTTATCAGTCAGGGTTCAAGTGAATACTCCCTGCCCCGTGATCTCTAACTGCAAGACAACAGGAATCCAGGTCTGCACGGGATGACCCTGTGTCCACGGTTAGGGAAAAATGGAAGTACTTGGGAAAGTGTTGTTGAGGAAGACAAAGTGTTGTTGAGAGAGTGGGTGCAGCCCAGGAGGCTGGTAGCAAGACTTTTGCTTCTTAAGTTACATAAGGATAACTCACGTCAAGTCCATGTGAATTCCTTCTTTGTCAAGCCTGTCACACACACCCCTGTCATATGATGCCTTAACTGACAAGCGTAATGACATAACTGCATGCCCAGGAGTGTGTGGGCCCCCTGCAACCCGGCATTTCTCTTTTTTCTCTGATGTGGGAAATGGGGATTTTCCAGCTCATCAGATTTCAGACAAGCTTTCAGACCACGGCAGCAAGTCTCCATCCAGCCTTTGTGATTTGCCTCCTGTGGGGCTTCTCTCCTTCAACACCCCCTGATCTGCAGAGCACAGTCCTGGGGAGCACGGGCTCCGCTCAACTCCATCTGAGGTCCCCGTGGTTATATAACACTCGCAGCTGAACAGGAAATGCTGTGGGGAAATTGGCAGCAACCAGAGAAGGCCAGGAGGGGTGTAGTTGAACATCAAAGCAGCCTGCCAGGATCCAAGCCCTGTGAGTGGGGACAGAATTATGTAAAACAGGTGTGGGGGACCCCTAGTTTCAGCCCCAACATGTAAAGAGATTGGGAGTTGTCACTCATATCCCTACAGTGAACTGTATTAAATGAACTGTATTAAAATGAACTTTTATATGTATTATTTCTCGGACCTGCCAGAAGACTCGGGTCTTGGGGGCATACTTACATGGGCTTTGCCTCCAGTAATCCTAGCAAATTCTCCCATTGAAGGTCTGAGAAAGATCCCCTCTCTCCAGGTGGCTCTGGCAAGAGAAATGGATGAGTAATCATGACATATGCCAGAGCCTTCTTATAACAAAGTCCTGTTCTCCAGACCTTGCTCCCAACTAGGGGAGGAGAATTTCTACCATTTAATCCCATTAGCCTTCCAGTCTCAACAGCAGGGTTGGGAGGTGGGAAAGACATAATGAACAGCAGTCAAAGCCTCAAGGAAATTGACAGGAAACTCTGCAGCCATGGGAAAAAGGAGGGGGTGGGGAGGGGTGCTATACCACTGGAGAAACAACTGAGAAGGTGACAGACACAAGATACAAGACCCCGAAAAGAAGGAGGTTTAATTGGAAAATTACAGAATGTTATCCCTCACCCATATCCCACCACCACACCAACAAGACCAAAATAGTGGAGTATAGTGGGAAGACCTGCAAGACACAGACTCTCTCTGAGGAGGAGGACTTTGGGAACCCAAAGTCAGTAGTAGAGGCAAAAGCAGACACACTGGAGGAATTTGAAGCCTCTGGCACTTACAGCTCCATCAGTAGCCCAATAGCCCAATTCTTTACCGAATTAACGTAAGTTGTCACTTTGAAGGTCTGTGTATCTCATTTTTTATTACCTGATACAACATGTCTGGATTTCAGCAAAAAATTATGGGCACACCAAAAAGTAAGGAAAAAACAGCTTAAAAAATAAATCAGTTATCATAATCAGACTCCAGTATGTTGGGCACAGATGTTGGAATTATCCGATAGAAAATTTAGAATAACTACAATTAAAAGTGTTATAGGGTCTGATGGAAAAAGTAGATCACATGAAAGGACAGCTGGGTAATGTAATCATAGGAAGGAAAACTCCAGAAATGAATCAGAAAGAAAGACTATAAATGAAAAACACTGTAACAGAAGTGAAGAATGCTTTTAATGGACTCATCAGTAGGCTTGACATGGCTGAGGAAAGGGTTAGTGAGCTTGAAGATGAGTCCGTAGAAACTCCCTAAACTGAAATGCAAAAAGGGAAAAAAATGAAAAAAAAATAGAGCATCAAAGAACTGGGGCACAATTGCAGAAGGTGTAACATAAATAATTGGGAAAAAATAATAATTGCAAGAAAGAAAAGATAATGGAGTAGAAGAAATATTGGAGCGATAATGGACAGGAAGTTACCAAAATGAATGACAGAGGTCAAACCACAGATTGAGGAAGAGCTTAGATGACACCCAACCGAATGAGTACCCCCCCAAAAAAAACCCACCTAGGCATATCATATTTCAACTGCAGAAAACCAAAGACAAACAGAAGATCTTGAAAAATCCAGGGGGGGAACCACTTCACCTGGAAGAACAAAGATAAAAATTGAAATGGATTTCTCATCAGACATTGTGTAAACAGGAAGAAAGTACAGTGAAGTATTTAGTTCTGGGGAAGAACCCCACCAACCCAGAATTCTCTACCTAGTGAAATCGTCCTTCCAAAGTGAAAGGGAAATAAAGAGTTTTCAGATTAAAAAAAAAAAATGAGGTAATTCATTGTCAGCAAAATTACATCGGTGGGAAACTTGGATCTCACAAAAGGGACATAAGTACATCAGAGAGGGAATAAATGAAGGTAAAATAAAAATATTTTTGTTGCTAATCCATCTAAAAGATAACTTTTTAATAGTAACAATGTATTACGTGATTATAGCAAATGGGTAGTGAAATGACTGACCGCAAAGTCACAAGAGACAGGAGACAGGATTTGGGATACTGAAAACGGGAAGGCAAACAAAAAAAAGGAAAAGGAAGGAAGGGAAAAAAGCAAAGAACAAATGCAACAATCAGAAAAGAATTACAAACATAGCAGCCATCAACTATGTCAGTAATCATTTTGAATGTTGATGGTCTGAGTACACAGATTAATAGACAGATTGTCAGAGTAGATTTTAAAAAGACCCAAGTCTATGTTTTCTACAAAAAAAAACCTTTAAATAGAAAGACTAGGAGAGGTTAAAAAAATAGAATGGACAACAATATCAGAAGATATAAGGCAAAACTAATAGAACTGAAAGGAGAAATTCACAAATCCATTATTATTCTAGAGGCATCAATACCCTTCTGTCTGTAATTGACAGATCAAACAGGCAGAAAATCAATAAAGATATTGATGACCTGAACAGCAGCACCAATCAACTTGATCTAATTAACAATAGAAGATCCACACAACAACAGCAGAATACTCATTCTTCTTAAGCTCACAGGAAATGTCCAGTGATACCACATTCTGGGTCATAAAATACATCATAACACATTTAATAGAATAATAAGCATGAAAAGTAGTTTCTCAGATCACAGTAGAATTAAATAAGTCAGTGACAGAAAGATAGCTATAAAGTCCTTTCAAATATTTAGAAATTTAATAATGTACTTCTAAATAATTCTTAGCTCAAAAAGAAGCCTTAAAAGAAATTACAAAATGTTGTAAGCTAGTTAAAATGAAAGTATAACTTATCAAAATATGTGGGATGGTGCAAAAGTAGTGTTTGGAGGAAGTTTGTAGTATTAAATTTGTATATTAGGAAATAAGAAAGCTAAAAATCAATGAAGTTTTTACCTTAGGAAAGCATAGCAAGTTAAGCCAAAAGCACGCAGAAAAGAAGAAATAATACATGATTAAAGTACAAATCACTGAAACTGAAAAAAAAATAGTAGAGAAAATCAATAAAACAAAAACTTGGTTCACGGAAAAGATGAATAAAACTGATAAGCTTCTAGCCTGATTAAAGAAAAAAATGAGACAAGACCCAGTTACCAATATCAAAAGAGGAGTGGAGATGATCTCATACCAGCATATGATATGTGTGGGTAGAGTTGGCCTTCTTTTATCAGACTCCTCTGCTCCTAGAACAGATCAGCAAAACAAACAAGTAAATGACATTTTCCAACCTTCTTTTTTTATTTAAATTATTTTATTGTTGTTCAATTACAGTTGTCTGTATTTTCTTTTCCCCCCTCCCCCCAACCCCCTTCAACCTTTTTTTATTGTCATGGCACTCATAGAAAATTGGGTGGAGGATGGATGGATGATGGATGGATGATGAATGGATGGATGGATGGTGGTTGGATGGATAGATGGATGGACGGATGAATGGATGATGGATGAATGGATGGATGAATGGGGCACACTGCTATAAACATATAGACAGGATTGC